CTAAGCATACTGCTCTACCTCCTGCACCTTCCACCCACCGCAGCCCCCTGTCCTGAGCCCCTCATACAACCCAACCCTGACTCCTGCAACCCCACATCCACAAACTGCATCCCCAGCAGCAGCAGAAATCCCATTAAATAAAGTCTGTGAGTACAATTTTTCATGTATGCTATTATTAATCATCATGTCAATTATCAATAATATTAAGTTGAATATTTTCAGTCATGGAAATTGGCATTCTTATACGGCTCTTTGCTGACCATTGGTTATGAATTTTGATGTAGTTTGGCTCTTTGGCTTGAAAAGGTTACTGACCCCAGTGCTAGTTGGATGAAATTTACCACAATGGCAAGGACCATAGAGACCTGTGGTTTGCACTGTGCAGGGGGTCAGACTAGATGATCATAATGGTCCCTTCTGACCTTAAAGTCTATGAGTCTATGAGACCTTTGCACCATTCCAGTGTCATGTTAACCTCTATTTTGAGAGCTAAGTGGGATTTATGCAATGCATAGATATTGTGCTGGCCCTCTGCATAGGGATACATTTCTCTTTTTGCATAAGAGAGAAACAGGCCACATTTTATGTTAGATAAATAAATCTGTACACAGACCTTTGCTTATACCTAATCTTACTCTTCAAACACACGGGCTACGTCTACACTGGCGTTATCTTGCGCAAAAACTCTTTAGTGCAAGAGTTCTTCTGCAAAAACTCTTCCAGAAGAGAGCGTCTACACTGGCATGTGCTTTTGCGCAAGAGCATCCATGCTAGTGTAGATGCTCTCTTGCGCAAGAAAGCTCTGATGGGCATTTTAACCATAGGGCTTTCTTGCACAAGAAATTCATGTTGCCTGTCTACACTGGCCTCTTGCTCAAGAACAGTTGCTCAAAAGGGCTTATTCCTGAGGGGGAGCATCAGAGTTCTGGCTCAAGAAGCCCTGATTTCATACATTAGAACATCAGTTTACTTGCACAAGAACACGTGGCCAGTGTAGACAGGCAGCAAGTTTTTGCGCACAAGATTGCATCAGTGTAGACACAGCCACACACTTTGTGAGTCACTCTGTGTACTTTATGGATAAATTAGGCAATCACAGATGGATACAACTGTATTTTCTCATTTTGAAAAAAAGAATTAATATACTGGGAAAATATAATTTATTTAATAGTGTTTTTGGTGTGTTAATAGTTCTTCCTTTTGCATGCTACCCAGTGGTGGGTGCACAAGATTTTCTGCAGATATTTGTTAGCATTTTTAAATGCTTGCTTTGACCACTGTGACAAGCTGAAGCAGCTCCCTGGGAAGGACTAATGGATCCATGCCTATCACATGCCTGGATGGGAGCTGTAAGAAAGAGGAAGCTAGAGCCACACAATGAAGTGGAAGGGATTTTTTTCCCAAGGTGTTGGAGGCCAGGGAAAAACCTTGGGGGATGGAGACAACATTTGCCAGCTGAGTTGTTTTCTTTGGTGTTATTTATGATCTTTGCACAAATGATAAATGAAGCCCTGAGTCAAGGACCTTTAAAGGAGCTGAGTGCAATGTTTGCTTCTCTGCTGTGGCTACTGAAACAGCCCAGCATAGGCAGCATGTGTCTGGTTTTTGACTGGGTTATTAAAAGATTGGTTGATGCAGAAGAGTCAGGCTCCCTACCTGGCTCTACACAGCTCCCAGGAAGCAGTGGCCACAATGGCCACATAACTACCTGGTCGCCCTTATGCCTAGGGACATGTTGCTACTTGTGGGGAGCCACCTGAGGTGAGTTCCATCTGGAACTAGCTCATCATCTCCTCCCTCAGCTCTGAGCCCCCTTCCGCACCCAAATTCCACTCCAGAGTCTACACCTCTGAGTCCCAGCCCAGAGCTTGTACCTCCTCCCAGAGTTCTACCCTCCACCTTAACTACCTGGTCGCCCTTATGCCTAGGGACATGTTGCTACTTGTGGGGAGCCACCTGAGGTGAGTTCCATCTGGAACTAGCTCATCATCTCCTCCCTCAGCTCTGAGCCCCCTTCCGCACCCAAATTCCACTCCAGAGTCTACACCTCTGAGTCCCAGCCCAGAGCTTGTACCTCCTCCCAGAGTTCTACCCTCCACCTTCAGATGAGCAAGTTAGCAATGGTAGAGGAGACTGAGCACCAGGAGGAGGAGGAGGGATGGAGTAAAAGGGATAGGGCAGGGGTGTTTTGGTTTGTGCAGTTAGAAAGTTGGCACTCTAGGCCAGCAATATTCAACTGTGCTTTTCTGTTTGCATCATGTGGGCAATTGTCTTTTCTGTTTGCATCGTGTGGGCAATTGTCTTTTCACTCTGTAAATATCCATGAAAATAATTCAAATGTGAGCCACTTCCTGTAAGCATTCACACCAGAAATCTGATTGTAAGAGTTAAACTCGGGTCAGGGAACAGAAACAATACCAGAAGATTTATGTGCCCACTCACAGCTAAACACCAGAGTTCAGATTAAGGATTTTGAATTTAATAACAAACTACAGAGTATATAAAATGGATTTAATAACTTCAAATAACAAATATGAGCTATTCCACACACAAGAAAATAAGTATCAAGGAAATTATTTGTTATGAATTATTCTCAGCTTGTACAGCACTGGAGGTTGGGCTTCCATATCATCTATAAAGAACAGATTTTTCTTTTTTAACCTTTTCCAATAAACAATTAAGTTGTTGACTTATCTTGAATTTTTATAGACAAAAATTACTTTTATTGTTACTGCAAGTTTAGTCTTTATTAATTATAATGAACTCATTGGAAATAGGGCAGAATTTTACAACTGAGCTTGCTTTTAATCACTAAGAAGGAAAAATGTTGAGGTCCCCAAATGATTTTAAATAATATGATTGTGTTTGTCTGTAACTAGCATGTGTGTTAGTGATGGCTGATTGAGTACTGCACTAGAATATAAATTCTAAATTGCATAGGGCTAGAGTCACAAAGGATATGTCTACACTACCACCCTAGTTCGAACTAGGGTGGTAGTGTAGACATACCCAAAGGGGTTTAAAGTCATGGTGTTGCAACAACTAATGGTGCTCTGTCAGTGGAATTCATAGCTCTGAGGTAAGTGCACAGGTACCCCATGTATTGTAGGGATTCACAGAAGCCAGCATGCTGAGCAGGGAACTGCCTAAGGTAGTCAGGAGTGAAATAGAATCCTAGGGCTGAAAGAGACCTCAGGAGGTCATCAAGTCTAGCCCCCTGCCTGAAACAGGACCACCCCTAACTAAATCATCCCAGCCAGGGCTTTGTCAAGCTGGGACTAAAAAACCTCTAGGGATGGAGATTCCACTACCTCCCTAGGTAACCAATTCTAGTACTAAACCACCTTCCTCCTGAAATAGGTTTTCCAAATATCCAATTTAGACCTCCCCCACTGTAAGTAAATACTGAAAGGCTATGTCTACACTCGCGGCTTCTTGCTTGAGTAATATGCAAATGCGGCTAAGCGTGGAATATCGCCGAGCCTCATTTGCTTACCTAATGAGCCACCATTTTTTCAGAAGAGGCTCTTGTGCAAGAAAGAGCATCTACACTGCCCTTTCTTGCATAAGAAAAACCCTCTTGCGGGATGCTGTTCTTCTTGAAAAGTAATAGGTGTAACAGCATTGTGCAAGAGGGTTTTTCTTGCGCAAGAAGGGGCAGTGTAGACGCTCTTTCTTGCACAAGAGCCTCTTCTGAAAAATATGGTGGCTCATTAGGTATGCAAATGAGGCTGTGATATTCCATGCTTAGCCTCATTTGCATATTACTCAAGCAAGAAGCCGCAAGTGTAGACATAGCCAAAGGGCTTAGAAAAACTTAAAAAACAACAACAGCATGAGCTTAGGTGGGCACAACCCACTTCTTCAGATGAATGGAGTTTAAAGGGGTCCAGTTTTCAATTAAATAGCACAGAGAGGGGATGGGGGAGAGGGAAGAAGAGGAAAACAAGGAAAGAAATGATCAGTGTCCATGCTAATTGAAACTGATAAGAATACTCATGATACCAGCTACATTTTTGTTAGTCTCTAAGGGGCTGCAAAATGATTGGTTGTTTTTTCCAGGTACAGACTAACAGGGCTACCCCTCTGAAACTTTTGAAAGGGCTTAAGCATGTTAAGCATTCATGGCGGTGAAGCCCGTCTTAATATAGGGCACTGCTTTCATCTCCTTCCTTGGTGTAATTAAGCCGCCCCCGCTTTCGGGGAGGAGAGGGGGCCGAGGCGGGGGGAGAACAGCACGTGTCTCCGCCCCCAACAGCTGGAGCAGCCCGTGGTTACTGCCTCGCCTCATCGCAGCGAAAGGGCTTAAGCATGTTAAGCATTCATGGCGGTGAAGCCCGTCTTAATATAGGGCACTGCTTTCATCTCCTTCCTTGGTGTAATTAAGCCGCCCCCGCTTTCGGGGAGGAGAGGGGGCCGAGGCGGGGGGAGAACAGCACGTGTCTCCGCCCCCAACAGCTGGAGCAGCCCGTGGTTACTGCCTCGCCTCATCGCAGCGGGGCTCAAAGACCCTCCTGGCCACCAGGCTGCCAGGGCAGCGCGGCG